TATTATATATTATGTTTCTCGTTCGAGTTTTTCTTGCTTAAAACGCCTATGTACCCAAATGTGTCATTAGGCGTATGAATTCTAATTTTAATTTACTTGAATAAAACGATTTTGATTGTTATGTATCTTTTTCTTTAATCCCACTCATCCCTTGAAGTTGGCCACCCTAGAAAAGGGAGTCAAATCCCTTGTGAGTCGTTTGTATCCTTATATTCGGCGTAGTACCTCAAAGGAACGTGTTTGTTTGCAGTGTAGCCCTACGTTAACAAGATATATTATCTTCAAAGTAAATTTAATGATAAATAAATGTAATATTCATAAAATATCATGTCTCAGTTTCTGTTTAGGCATATACATATAAAATCGGTTTCAATAAAGTTCTGTTTCTGGTTATGTCAAGTTCAAGATGACCGCTTTTTCAGATTTATTTGTTAGTTCCAAAAATTTTTAACACTGAATTCATCTTCATTTTTTTAACCAGCTTTAAAAAAAGGAGGAGGTTCTCAATTCGACTATATGTATTTTTTTGTTACCCGATTTTGATGATTCTTTTTTTGTTGGAAAGAGGGTACCTAATGTTGGTCCCATATAATTTTGAAAGAAATATTCCACTTCTAAGTGTGGTTGTTCACGCAAAAAGAATTTTTATAAATAGCGCCTAAATTTTATTATAAGGAGCAATTATAATAATGATTGATTTTGCTATGCTCCAATGGCAGGCGTTTTTTTCCCTGAATATACTTAAAGCAGTGAGAAATGATTTTTATTATCTTCTGTGTTAAGTCCCGTACATGGTCCTAGACCGAAGTCGGATTTTGTCTACCTGGATTCAAGGACATATGAGCTTCAAATCAAGAAAATAAGTGATCTTAACTGCTAGTCGTTATATAGTATGTTTCACGACAAAGGCTATCCACATTGAACTGGTTGGTGGCTTTACAAGCAATAATTATTGTCGGCAGTGCGCAGATTCATTGCGGGTAGGGAGAAACCCAAAACCCATATATATACCGACAATGGTCTTATATTTGTTGGTGCTTACAACGATCTTTCAAAATTTTTAATAGGTATGACATTCGCTGTCGTCTGAGGTCGCCAATGAATTTCGGAGGTCTATGGAAGGCTGGTGTAAAGTGGACCAAATATCATTTACAAAGAGTGTTGGGCAATTGTAACTTAACTTTTGAAGGGCTTTATACAGCACTTGTTCAAATTAGCATGTAATAACGCACACACTCAAGATAGCCCCGCACTAGGGTAACCCTGTATCACGGGTGCCATGGACACGCACATAGACAACCACAAATGACTTCCAAACTCACGAGAGAAATATATGATACAAATATTTCTTCTGGCCCGGGAATCAAACGCGGGGACCTCTGTGTGGCAATCCAGCATTGTAACCGTTCGGCCCACAGAGGTAGTTGAATTTCATCCCCTTACAGTGATTAAAAAGGACTTTCTTTAGTACGCAGGTTTTATCACAACGTTTTCCTATACCTTTAACGAAAAGTATTTTACTTTTTTTTATAATACCAAGTGACGTGATGAACACGTCATGGGCGTGATGTTAAACGACACGCCTGTCCATAGCAGTTGCAGTACCACTCATAACTTGAAATCGCAAAGATTTGAGGATCAGTGCCACTGCGCCCGTCATCCATTTTGAGGCATAAGTTAACAAGTCCCATGTGCCTGTAATTTCACCAGCAGCCTTACCCTTCGGAACCGGAACGCAGTAAAGCTCACATTACTACTTAGCGGCAGAAATAGATAAGGTGATAGTACCTCTCTGGACGAACTCATTCACGAGGAGCTCTAATTTTAGTTGCAAACTTTTTTGGTAATTCCTGTTTGAAACTCTTCAATTCAAGAACGAATAAAATAATGACACTATAAGATGTAAGAAGCAAGTTGGTATTGTTTCAATTAGCTGTCAACAGAATAAGTTAAAACCTAAGTTCGACTTTGAGCACGACTTGCCTTTCATCAAAGCTAAGTAAGATCAAGTTCCAACTAAGTTACAATCTCTTAAACAGGAATCGTCAAGTATTACTTAACAATTTCTAAACTGTAATGTTGCGAACGCAACCTTAATTTGTAGTAAAATTTAATATAACTTTTAAAGCATTAACTAAATGCTCGTCAAGAGCACATTACGTAGGCGCCTTTTTTAAACCAATCAACTAACACCACATACATGTTATTTCACCCCTACCATAATTTAACGAACTTTTCGTATGAACTCAAAAAGGTCAAAAAGGACGTTCACTTTTGAATTGTACTTCTTTAAGAAACCATCACTGTTTAAGGATTAATGGCACTACTCCCGTAAACCAGCAACCTATTGCTCATCAACTTCTACTTGGGTCTGGCGGCTACTATATGGTCCTTCGACCCGGATCTGAACCAGCGAGCTATGGATTAATTGTTTTACTACCCCTACCCTTACGATCGGCTATCATAACTGGCTCGGCTTTAGAGATACGTATATTTCACTTATACATAATAACACAGCAATTAATGACATAAGTAAATTCCATTATCTTAGTGCTGCGTTAAAAGATACTGCTGCACTTGTAATTCAGTCTTGATTTTAGCTCCTTGTAATTCAAAGTCTTGATTTAGGCTCTGATAGTTATCATAAAGCATGGCAGTTATTGTCAGAGCGGTTCGACAACCAAATATTAATAGTTGATAACCATGTCCAGGCTTTGTTTAACCTTGAACCTATGCGTAATTTGGTAGACGTTACAAATAAAAACTTGCGTTCCCTTGCTACATTAGGTGAGCCAACCGATCACTGGGACACCTTAATTATACATATTATGTCAAAAAAGTTAGATTTTATGACTAACTGCCAGTGGGAGGAACAAAGAAACTAATTAACTGGTTCACCAACTTTACAGCAGTTTATTAATTTTTTTAATGGCAGGGCAGACCTATTAGAATCCATACATCTTAATAATAATCCAACAAAACAAAAAACACAATCACATTTACAATTAGAAACACAAAAATCAAAAAAGTTCCTTACAACTACGAATAATAAT